CCCTCCCCGTACCTGACCCCGCCCACCCAGCCTGCCCCCCATATCTCACTCTTCGCCTGCCCACCGCTTCCCAGCCGGGTACTCGAGCCCCCCCACCTAGTTTGACCCTGCCCCGTGCCTGGCCCCGCCCCCAGTCTGTCTGGGTGCCCTAACCTGCCGCCTTACCTTCCCATCTCCCCACGCCGCCCCCGTCCCCCACCACTCCTTACTTGAGGGTCTGCGGCCGCATCTTCTTCCCGAGCCGGCAGTCGGCGAGCGCGCTCTCGATGTCCTCGTGCACCAGCTCCGCCTGCCGGGGACAGGGGGTCAGGCCTGGCCGGGTCAGGGCGCGCGGCGCCCCCGTGGCTGCACGGCCCTCACCTCGACCTCGTCGCAGTAGAAGAAGTGGATGTCGGGCTTGCTCTGCTCCGAGTCCTGGCACACGAGCAGCAGCACCGACGGGTAGCGAAGCTGGTTCAGCACCGTCTGGCAGTGCTGCACGGTGGGCAGCGGGAAGTTCTCCAGCTCCTCCTGGGGGCGGACAGCGACGAGGCACGCGGGTCGGGGGCGGGCTAAGACGTGGGGACGTGGGGCTCGGACGCGGGTCGGAGGCAAGGCTGGACGCAAGGCTGGGACATAAGGCTCAGACGTGGGGATGCGGGGCTTAGATGGTGGGTCGAGCACACAGGGCTCTGACGTGGAGCTCAGACGCGAGGCTCGGAGAGGAGCATAGACTCAAGCAGGGCTTGGACATGGGCTCAGACCCGATCTCGGGCACAGAGATGGACCTCACTAATGGACACAGTCCCACAGACACAGATGTGACTTGTGGACCAGGTTGTGGAGTTTGAACCAAGGACACAGATAGGAAGATGACTTGAGAGCTCAGAAAATGGACGTGGTCAGGATGTGGAGCATGTGGACCATGGCCACCAACGCTCAAGGGCCACAGCTGGTGGACACAGCCAGGCCCTGGCTCCAGTACAGCAGTGGACAGGCTCACGTGACCACAGCCTGGACATGCAATGGGCCCCTGAGGCTCCCCTGGACCCTCAGCCCCTTCGGGACCCGACCCTTTGCCCACACTCTTCTCACACAGGGATGGCGGGAAGCTCCCCGCCCCCACACACACCTGGGACTCCATGTCCAGCAGCCGCAGTGCCTGGTCGTTGACCTGCAGCAGCATCTCCTGCATCCAGATCTTCTCCTTGGAGCTCAGGTGCACTAGCTTTCGGATGGCATCGTCCACGGAGACAATGGCCTCACTCTTGTCCATGATGAACGTGGCCAGGTGCTGGGGGCAGGTAGTCAGAGTTGGGTGTGGCCTCCACATGCTGGGGTGCTTGAGCCCAAGGGGACGTGCCCACCCTGGGGGCTCTGACAAGGCACAGCCTCATCCTGGGGAGTCTGAGAGGAGGCAAAGCTCTGCCCTATGTGGTCTGAAGGGGCACAGTCTATCCTGGGGGGGTCTGAGGAGACACAACCCACCTTTGTGGAGTTTGAGGGGGCACAGCCTGCCCTGCAGGATCTATGGGGACACAGCCTTATCCTAAGGGGTCTGAAGGGGGTCACAGCCTGCCCTGTGGCGTTTGAGAGGGCACAGCCCCACCCTGAGGGGTCCGAGGGAAGGGAAAGCTTGCCCTATGGAGTTTGAGAGGGCACAGCCTGCCCTGGGGGTTGAGGGGGCACGGCCTGCCCTGAGGGGCTGAAGGGGCACAGCTCCACCTTAGTTGAGTTTGAGCTCTCCCTTGACGAATATCTCTGGGGACCATGGCCGGGCCCTGATAAAAATTCTCAAAAAAATCCAAACTACGGAGGCCCTAAACCATCTACCCCCATCCACATTCCATCCCCTGCAGCTGGGCCAGGAACACCAGCCTCCCTCCCTCTGTTCCCCGGGGCCACCGCCAGGCTTCTGCACTCGCTGTTCCCAGTCTTCCCTGAGCCCTTGTCTCTACCTTGCAGATTGTCTGGAATGTTGCCTGCCCTGACCAACCAACACATCATGGTCTCCCCAACCCTGAACTGACTTAGTTTTTCTTTATCGCTATCCAAGGTTACATTATATATACGGCTTCTTTGTTTATTGCATTGTGTTCTCTGCGTGGGGCAGGGGCTGTGTCTGCTGGGTTTGCTCGGTCTCCCAGTGCCTGGAGCAGTGCCTGGTAGGAGACAGGCCCCCCCCCCCCATGACCATGTGTGGGATGTGAGTGTCCTGGTGTCTGGGGCAAACTCTGCCCAGCAGGCCATGGGACCCTCACCTGGCCACGGGACCCTCGCCTGGCCGCGGGACCCTCGCCTGGCCGCGGGACCCTTGCCCAGCCAGCGTTTCCCTGTGCTGCCCACCTCCTCTCCTCTGTCCAAGCTGACCTGGCAGAAAGAAACGCGCCCTCCTCCAGCCCGAGCTCCCACATGTCTGCCTTGAGCCCTCTCTGGAAGAATCAACCCAGTAAACAATGCTGGACAACCGTATACATACTGACATCAACTCCAGCCAATCAAAGACCTAACTGCAAAACACAAAATCAAAAAAGTGCTAGAAGAAAATACTGCATAATTTCTGATAAACTCAAGGAGGACTTATTCACCAGGGGACTCTTCTAAACAAGAAAGAAAATTCAGAAGCTCAAAAGAAAATACTAATAAATTTGACTTAATAAAAAATAAAAATTGCTGCCTAGGGAAAAAAACTAACAAATACATAGTAAAAAGAAAAACTGGGGGAAAACAGGTAACAGCTATGAGGAAGGGCCAGTTTTCCTTATATATAAAAAGATCAATATGCATCACAATTATAACTCTTACTTTGTTAAAAGTTCTATTTTGTTAAATGTAAATAATTTTGTTAAATATAAATAATCATATTAATATAAATAAATATAAATGAATTAATTAAATATAAATGAACAAATACATAAAAAAGTAGGATATGAGCACAGATTTCACAGAAAAATGAGCAACTTTTAAACAGAAAATTGTGTGCATTCTCCTTCAATAAAATAATTGCAAATTGAAACTCTGAGACTCTATCATATTAGGAATGAATTAATCATTGAATTTTTTATCTGTTCTGTTTACCAGTACTGAGATGTCTGACATTACACTTTGTGGGTTAAATGTGCACCCCCACCTGCACTCACCCAGCTTCTCTGGAGAGGGACTTGGTAACATCTGTGAAGGCGCACAGCCTTTACCTCCCAATTCTACTGCAGGTAAACCGCAGACATGCAAATATGGCAGCTATGAGGTTGCTCACTGCAGAGCCATTTGTAGTAATGAACAACCGAACCCAACCTACACATCCATCAACAGGTTAAAGACATAAGTGGGGCAGCAAACGCGCAATGGAATAGGAGGCAGCTGATCTGTCTATGGGAGGCAGGGTAAAATCTGTTAGCAATGCAAAATAAAGCAAAGCCTGCTGCAAGGCCACAAAACAAGTCTCAGTGAATTTCAAATGACCGAAATCATACAGAGTATGTTCTATGACCCTAATAAAATTAAATTAGAAACCAAAAACAAAAAGATAACTAGAAAATCCCCGAATAATTGGAAATTAAGCAACACACTTCAAAATAACCCATGGGTCAAGGAAGAAGTCACAAAGAAAATTAGCAAATATTCTGAACTGAATGATAATAAAAACATACATATCTGATTTTGTGAAACACAGCAAAAGCAGTGCTTTAAGGGAAACTTATAGCTTTAAATGAATATATTAGAAAATAAGAAAGACTTAGGATCAATGATCTAAGCATTCACCTTAAGAAACTGGAAAAAGAGAACCAAATACAACTTGAAGTAAATGGAAGGAAGGGAATTAAGAGTAAAAATCAATGAACTAGAAAACAATCAATAGACAAGAATCAACAAAGCCAAAAGTTGGTTCTGAAAAGATCAATAAAATTCATAAACTCCTACCAAGCAAAACCTAGAAAAAACACAAATTTTCAATAACCAGAGTGAAAGAGGGAGCATCACTACAGATCTTACAGACACAAACTGGATTCATAATCAAAAACCTTCCCACAAAGAAAACTTTATACTTAGTGGGCTTCACTGGTAGATTTTACCAAATATTTAAGAAAGAAATAATAAAAATCTTTCACAAACTTTTTCAGAAAACAGGGGAGGGAACACTTTCCAGCTTTTTCTTTTGTTTTCCTCAGTTCATTCTTTCTCTAAATTTAATTTTGTTTTTGCTGTTGAGAATATATGCAGCAAAACAGACACCAATTCAACAGTTCCTACATGTACAATTTAGTGACATTGATTACATTCTGTGAGTTGTGCAACCATTCTCTCCTTTTCTGAGTTGTTCCTCCCTCACTGACATAAACTTACTGTCCCCTAAGGTTCCTATCTAATCTTTCAAGTTACTGTTGTCAATTTGCTCCCATACAGATAGTTCTTAAAAGACCATGATGCTCAAGGCAGATCTTTTTTACTAGTTAAGCTGTTGTTCAGTTTTAAGATGACTGTAGGGGAAATTTTTGGTTTAAGGTTTAAAGATTATCTTAGGGCAATAGTTTCAGGGGTTCAGCCACCCTTCATGGCTCCAGAAATTCTAAAGTCCATGAGAATTTGTAATTCTGTTATGCATTTTCCCCCTTTTGACCAGGATTCTTTTATGGAATCTTTGATCAAAATATTCAGTAATGGCAGCCAGGCACCATTCAGTTCTTGTGGTCTCACAGCAAAGGAGGCAGTTGTTCCTGGAGGCAATTAGCCACAAATTCCATATCCTCCTCTTATTCCTGACTTTCTTTCTTCCTCTGTTGTTCTAGGTGAATAGAGACCAATTGTTGTGCTTTGGATGGCCGCTTGCAAACTTTTAAGGCCCCAGGCACTACGCAATGAACTAGAAGGTAGAACAGAAGCACTAAACATGTCATTAGGTGAATTAACTTGGATGTCCCATGAATCCATGATCCTAAGTCTCCAAACCAAGGAATCAAATCCCATGAGGTGCTTGGTTGTACATAAGCAGCCTCAGCAGCTACTCTTTTTTTTTTTTTTTTGTCATTGTTATGAATATATCTGTCAGTCACACAAGTTTTGCCAATTCAACTTTTTATAGGTTACAACTTATTGACAGCAATTACAATAAGTGGCTGTGCAACCCTGCCCTTAATCAATGCGATTTTTCTATCACTGTTAACCCTCCTTTTCCCCCTCCCTCCTGCCCCTGGTAACCACGGATAAACTTTGGTCTCTGTGCATTTTCCTAATGGCTGAGTAGTATTTCATTGTATGTATGTAACTGCATTTGTTTATCCCTTCATCTGTTGATGGACATTTAGGTTGATTCCACCTTTTGGCTATTGTGAATAGTGCTGCACTGGACAATGGTGTAAAAGTCTCTTTTTGAGTCTCTGCTTTCAAGTCTCTTGGGTATATACCTAGGAGTGGAATTGCTGGGTCATATAGTAGTTCTCCACCACTCATCTGTCAGTTTGTTGTACTGTGGTGGCTTTCATGTTGCTGTGATGCTGGAAGCTATGCCACCGGTATTTCAAATACCAGTAGACTAAGACAGACTAGGAAGAAGGACCTGATGATCTGCTTCTTAAAAAACTGGCCAGTGAAAACCTTTTTAATAGCAGCGGAACATTGTCTGATACAGTGCTGGAAGATGGGCCCCTCAAGTTAGAAGGCACTCAAAATATGATTGGGGAAGAGCTGCCTCCTCAAAGTAGAGTCGACCTTAATGATATGGATGGAGTCAAGCTTTTGGGACCTTCATCTGCTGATGTGGCATGACTCAAAATGAGAAGAAATAGCTGCAAACATCCATTAATAATCAGAACATAGAATTACAAAGTATGAATCTAGCAGAACTGGAAGTCATCAAAAATGAAATGGAACACATAAAGACTGATATCCTAGGCATCAGTGAGCTGAAATGGACTGGTAATGGCCATTTAGAATCAGACAATCATATGGTCTACTATGCTGGATGTCTTAGGCTGGGCTCTCTTGAGAAGCAAAACCAGTGAAGTGTATAAATATATATAGAAAGAAATTTATCTCAAGGAAATGGCTCATGTGCTTGTAGAGGCTGGCATGTTCCAAGTCCATGGGTCAAGTGCCAGGCTGGAGGCTTCTGACTCACATAGCTATAGGGAAGATGAACCCAAGGTCGGCAGGTCAGATGGCAGGCTGCTGGCGCACAGGCTGCAGAGGCTGACCAATCCCTTACCTGCTGATGATTGGCAGTAAGCTGCTAGCTCAAGCCCAAGAACTAGAGGTCAGATGATGACGAGCTGGATGCAGGATCCAGAGTGAGAGCTT